ATTTGGACCTTTGGCGTAGATAACGTGCAAATTTTAGCAGCAGATATTCAGGGATGTTTGCAGTTTACATAGAAGGGATGAAGAAAATTTGTCATGGTTAAGAAGCTCAAACAGACCCAGATGAGGATCCAAGCCTGGTTTGCATATGTATGAAACTCTATACTTAGATACTGTTGGAAGTTTTCTGAAGTCTAAACCTGCGTAAACTATTCAGTTTACAAAAAAAAGTACAGTAAAAACAAGTGTGTATTGTGGTAAATATAGTTTGATCAACAGGATGTATTGCACTGACCCTGATCTGGAACTCATATCTGTTTATCACTTGAATTATTTCAACGTAGAGTTATCATATCTGTTAGAGCAGACATGGGCAAACTAAGGCCCGGGGCCCAGATGTGGCCCATTCAGCTTTTTAATCTTTCTGCCTTTCCCTGCAATACCCAGATTTCCCCAATAGATGGCGTATAAAATTATAAAAGCATATTAGCATTTTAGCCTTTGTGCATGACTTTTCATGTAGTTTATCTCAGTTCAAAAAGTTTGCCCACGCCTGTGTTGGAGTAACCACAGGTCAGGGGGCAGCAGTGTTGTGCATTGTGACAAATCTCTGACTAAGTCTTTAGTGACTCCAGTGAAGGACAAAACAAAAACAGCTAAAAAAAAAAAAATCCCACAAAACATAGTTTGCAGATCTACACCGGGGGGACATACGCTACAGTGTTTATGAGGCTTCGACCCTGGCTGACTATGGCTCTACAGTATCTTTCCCTTGTCCTTGCCATCTGACATGCTGTTTTCCTGATGAATGTCTGGCATCTGGACAAGGTGGACCTTCATCAGACGCTCCCTGGGCAGGTTGATAGTCTGACGGAGTGAGGAGGAGCGCACTATATCTCAGAGCCAGAGATAAAACAACGATCAGATGTCACCAGAAAGGAGATAAAACAAGCATCCTCTTCACATGTGTCGTACAGGAACGTTACATCATCAGAGGAGAGAGAGCAGAAAATTCTGCTGGGTGGAAGATCTGGATCACACTTGATCTGAGACGGAAACAGAGACCGCAGGAGGCTGGACCAGGGTGTTGAGAGATGAAAACAAAAGAACTTTGTTTAAAAAAAAAAATTCTTTTATAATTGTAACAGACGGAGACCCTTTTTAAACTGTGTCCTCACAGGTGAAGATGAACACACACAGAATTTCATTTCCATTGTTGACTGAGTGAAGTTGACATCAGAGCCTTTCACTCACTCCTCAGTTCCTCCTGAGCTTTTCGACCTCTCAGGCGCGATTATCTGTGATTGGTCGGCCACCTTGCACCGGGGCCTGAGCCACCTGTCATCCTTTTCACCACTTAACTAAATGTGGTTTTCATCTGTCCAACACCACTTTAGCCTCCCTCTGCCCACCCCTCCCCTCCCCCCGTCCTAAATCTCCACCAACCAAAACACCAGCCTGACCCTCTGTCACCACGGTGGCCTCATACCTGCTCAACTGAACTGCTCTTCTGAAGAGATGACATTTAAACCTGTCTCTACAGCCTCCTTTGATTACTTCAGTTTGAAATTCTCTTCCATTAAAACACTTTATCAAGTAGGACACATGTCAGGATGGGTTTCCAGAGGAACTGGGCCAGACATACAAGTACCTCACAAGGCCCACTGTGACGTTACTGTGACTTCAACAACCTGGAAATGTTTCCTCCTGAACTTTCTAATCCTGGCTTGAATTCATTTATTGGTATTTATTGGGTGCCTAGTACTTTTTTCTAAAGTAGCAGCATCTGGATGACATCTGGCTGGGTAGTTGTGAAAGCCCAGCAGGAAACAACAGCCCAGATCAATCTGAAGGCCTCTTGGTATGTGTGCTGTTTTCAAACCTGTGCCCAGGTCTGGGTCCTGTATCTGAATAGGCCACAAAGAGAGAGAAATGTACAGATTTGTTCAAAACCATCTCTCTAATGTGTGATGGGGTAACTCAGGTACGTACCATCGACCAGTAACACTGGGATTGGCTCCACCCACCCAAAATGATATTTTTGGGGAGTACAACAGCCACCCTAGCATTTTTAGTCCTTTTAAAGCGTTAAAAGCACTCATACGAAGCAGTGATTGGCTGAAAGACTGATGCACAGGTACAGGTATTAAAACTCCAGACCAGGCCCTGCCGCTCAGAGCAGAATTAGTCCAACATATTGTGTGCTTGTAAACATCACCTGTGATGTCAGTTGGACACCTGAAAATACAGCGTTCCAGATCCGGACGCTCGATGCTCAGTCCGAGGCTGTCGTGCTCTTCTTTTTACAAGCGAGGGTGTTTCCTTGGCAGGAAGAGGTTTCTGAAGGGTACATGATGTCATGCACGCTGGATATACTAGATGTCAGAACATCTGCAGGGAAGGTGATATTCAGAGCTATAGTATTTCACCAGCTCAGATACACTGTCACATATTGTAACATGCACTGCAGGAAAATGCACACACACACACATACACACACATATAGCACAGGCCATTGATGCAGTGTAGGATGATCTGCTTCCAGTTAGCATGTGAGCTGTTGCTGTTCACCGTTCACACAAAGGCATGGATCCAATTTCGGGCCATGCTTTTAATGAAACTCCACCTGAAACTGGTTTCTGATTGGAGAACAAAGCCGTGGAATCAAAAGCTGTTGCAGAGGTGACCTGAGCTAAAACTCCAAACATGAGCTCTTCAAGTTCAAGTCCAAACACGGCCCCACTAAAGTGCTTAGTTCCTGGAACATCAGCAGTCAGACGTACACTGAATTTATTCCACTCCGATCTAGAATTACTGTTTGTTTTAAAACCCATGACATGCTGTAAGAATAAGCTACAATTTGACCCTCATTTATTGCCTGGGTGACATGCAGGATAAGAAATTGACCCTCATTTATTGCCTGGGTGACATGTTGTGAATTATTTTTTGCGTCATTTACCCCATGGTATCAGTTTGGATAAAATGCAGGATAAGAAATCGCAGGTTAAAAATATTTAAATTTCTAACAGTTGACTTGTTTCCAAAACTGTTGTTAAACAAAAAGATAAAATAAAAATAAAGTTTCTGTACCTTTTCAGCAACGGTTGGACATCCTTGAATTTCACAGATTCTAAATCGACTCCAGAATTAATAAAGCATTCGATCCAGTTGTAGTTAAAATGCAGCAAATACACACCTGTTTTGTTCACATACAGAAAGGGATTCAGTGCATGTTTATTTTGATCGATCGCTAAACTGACATGAACGTATGATCAGTAGTGAAGTAGCTGCTATGGTTTTACTCGCTTCGAGATCTACGCCCCAGCTCCAGGTTGGACAAGGTAATGGGAGTTAGTTGAGGAGCGACAGCCCATTACTTTGAAGTGTACATGCAAACGTGGAGTGAAACTAGTTTGGCTAGGCAGAGAATACCGTATTGAGTAGCAGTGTGAAAACGGTTCACGGTGCCAGGTTGACCACTGTCATGTCCTGTTTCTTAAAGCGTCTTAAAAATAATAAGAACGACTCATCTTTAAACCCCTCCTCACATGAAAACCTCATCCAGGAATTACACTGTTGACGGCTTCACTTTAATCTTGATTTTTCACTGCAGCAAACAGTAGTCAGTTTCCGCTCGTCTTTCTCGCCACTTAACTCCTGTGGACACTGCCTTGATTTATTACCAAGGGGGAGGGGGGGAGACTGTATATTAGAATGTAAAGGCCGTGGCTGCAGTGGACCCTGGGTCAGGCTCCATCACTCTGCAGTGTGACAGGGCCAGGCTCCTGCTGAGTTATGGGATCAAGGCCAATGTCTGGAGGAGCGCGCACATGGGGGAAACGGATCTGTGCCCTTCCCTATTTTATCAGCTCTTCAACAAGGCAGCAGGAAGACACTCGGTTAATAATCATCTGCTGCTGCTGATGGCCTAGAGGGAGGGGGGGGGCAGCGGGCGGTGAGGTGGTGTGCAGATGTGCGTTCTCCTCTCCTATTTTATTTCAAAGGAGTTGTAGCTGTGCTACCTTCTTGTGTTGTGTTTGCTGCACCCAGAGCGTGTGAAAAACAGCTTTGATCCAGGTGTTTTAAATCCCTGATTTTCACCACACGTCGACTCAAACTGTTTCCATGAGGGACGACCGACCTCAGATAAAGGTTTATCCTGTACTGTGTAGTAATGGTTTTACGCATCGATTACTTCATAATCGTCTGTAAGGAGTATAGTACTACTTCAACATTTAAAAAAAAAAATCAAAGCTTTATATAAACTCTCTTTAAAGAATTCTCTTTATGTTTGTTATTTTTGTGTGTTTTATTTTTCATTACATCCTGTGGGTTTTTGCTGTTACGTTTCCTATACTGCCGTAAAAAACAAAAACAAAACAATATTGATCTTCTTTGGTTTTGCATATTAATTGTTTTTTTTTAACGGAGCTTGATCATATATTTAAATTTTGGATCAGAGCATCTGCACGAGACGGCGGTTTTGTTGTTGTGTGTCCGTCACCGTCAGCAGAACAAGGACAACTTTTCACTCCATTTGTTTAAACAATAATTTCCTGAGGAAGAGAAATGTGTTTGAGCTGCTGCAGCTGTTTGCTCTCCTCCCATGATGCTCCTTGATAGTCAGAGGGTATTATTATTCTCTGCATATGGCCTTGTGTGTGTGTGTGTGTGTGTGTGTGTACCAGGCTACACTTGTGGGCTCATTTTGCTGGTCCCCATGGAGAACATGAATAGTTTGTGCTTTAAAATTAGTTTTAGGATTAGAATTATGGTCAGATGAGGATTAGGACTAGGCAGAGATGAACGTTAGAGTAGGTGGGCAGGGGGTGTATTACATCTATGTGAGTTGCGTACGAGACACAGACTGTGTGTGTGTGTGTGTGTGTGTGTGTGTGGTCTCAGTCAGGTCTAGCAAAGAACACAGACACAGACTTTTCTTGGTCCCTCTTCACACTTTTCACACACAGGAGGCCTTTTTTAAAATGTGGTTAGAATGCTTGATTGTGTTTGGCTGTGTGTGTGTGTGTGTGTGTGTGTGTGTTTCTGAGTGATTGCTCAATGAAGCCAGGCCAAAATCAACACATAAAAGGTGTGTATATCCACGCTCCCCTGACAGGAAACAGACCCTGGTGGTGGTGTAAGGTTTCCCTAAATTCACTCAGGACTCACTGCTCACTGCTGTTTCACATTTGTCACAAGTTAAATTTGATTTATTTATTCCATCTCCCTTCAAAACCGCACTGCTCAGAAAGTAGGATAAAAAGAAAAAGAATAAAAAGCACAAGTTCAGCTCTGTAATTTTTTGGTTTGGTTTTTTCCCCCTCAGTTCAGGGATCAGAAGTTAGAATAGCTCGTCTATTTACCAGACTGCCAAAGACTATATCCCCTCATGGGTCCCCTAGCTTAAAAATTGTTGTATTTTTAATAAAAAAAAATACATTTCTTTGTTTAATTCTTAGATTTAAAACAGTAGAAAATGTCAGTAGAAAATACAGTAGTATTTACTGTAGGTTTATGACTTCAATCACTAACCTCTGAATGTTTTCAATAAAATATCAATCAGTTAGGTTTAATAACTGTATAATCCACTTTGGATTATATTTCAGTCTGTGTTAGAAAGTTTCTTGAACGTTCTGTGTCACGATTCCCCCAAGAATCCCTTCACGACATTTGTAACTCGACACCGACCGAGGTCGGCTTGGATATTGACTTTTTGACTTTGGACTGGAGGTCAGTTCAATTCTGTCTGTGTGGGCTTCACACCATGGGCCGTAATAAATCTGAAGTTTGATGGGTTGAAAATCAAGTGTTGGAGTAAATAAATGTTCAAAAACGCCGATCAGGCAAATAAATTCTATAAATTAAAACTCATTTCCACACATTTACAATGACAAAAAATTATAAAAATAACTACAGATAATAGAAAAGTACTATTAATAACACAATTCTTACTTAAATCAGTTAATGCAAAGAATCCTGTCCATCCTGTTTGAGGTCATTGTGTTCTGGTGACGGACACACCAACCTCACACCTCAGACTACATCGATCTGTAAAGTCGATCAAAGAGTTAATAAATCTTTATTTAAAAAAAAAAGAAGATTTCCAGCTCATTTGACAACACTCGGTCTTCTGTACCTTTATAAACACTGTGTTATGAATAATTACAACTGGTCTATTTAACAATACAACTCATCTTCAGTCACAAAATTCAACAGCCGCTTTAAGATGTGACACAGTTTTAAAACAAGTTTATGTCAAATGCTAATTCTTTCTTATTGTTAACCAGGAGGAACATTCTCTGATGATACTGCTTTCACTCACTCGAAACAAACACCAAAAAGAACCTAATAATAATAATAATAATAATAATAATAATAATAAACTAAAGCCTTAATAATGGCTTATGTCACTTAAAAACTGGCAAATCTTTCTTTTCAGTGTTCCTACGTGGACTTATCCTGCAACTGCAGCGGAGGTAGCTACTGTTTACTTACAGTATACTGTATATAAATATATATCTACAGATATATATACACATACATATCTATATATGTGTACATATATATAGAGATAGATAGATATAAGGTCAGTGAAGACAACTGCACTACATGTATAACGTGATCCAATGACTTTTAAAATATTGTGTTATTCATTACATTGTCTTCATTATTGTAACGAACTAAGAGGAATGTAAACGTAGGTCTCAGCCTGAAGTCTTGAGATGAACCCTATACATTTAAGTGTTTACAGTTTGTCAGATAAAAATTCAATGTGGACTACTGTGGTCGGTCAAAGACACTGCTGGCTTCAAACACTCAAACTCCTTCTGCTGCGTTCACACCAAACGCGATAGACGTGAAACAAAAAACTTGAAACGCCCGTTTTGCGCCACTTGATCATGTTGTCACGACCGAAGCAAAACTCAGTGAAACACAGTCAGTCTGGCAGGTTTTCTTCTTTCTTTTGTGCCTGTTCACACATCAATCTGCAGGATTGAAAACTCAAGATGTTTCCAGAGGTTCAGCCGCCACGCTTAGCTCTCGGTCTCGCCGTGGACGTTCTCCATGTGCACCTTGAGATAATCGTTCCTGGTGAACTTCTTGTGGCACAGTTGGCACTCTGCCATCGGTCGGTTGGGATTGTGGGTGAGTTTGTGTCGACTCAGCATCTTTTTCAGGCTGAAGGACAGGTCACACACCTGTAGCAGAGAAAGAATTGTGACAATTTGCAAAGTGTGCTGTTTGTAAGAAACTCAAATACTGTTTTTAAAAAATACTGGGGAACTGCACTGTTGAATAAATACTTTTCTCCACCTAATTTCTTCATATCTTTATCCAACTGAAGACTGAAGGTCTCCCTCTCCTCTTCTCTTCCTCCCATCTGGCAGCTTCCGTCTCAACATGTCCACTATCAGTCCTCAGCACAGGTCCAAACCATCTTGACCTTGAATCCCTGACTTCCAACAGTTAGATCTTGGCTGCCTCTCTCAGCTTGTCATTTCAGATCCTGTCCATCCTGGTCACAACCGAACTAATCGCAGCATCCTCAACCTCTGCTCAGCTTTTTGTTTTGTTTTTTCTATTTTGCCATCGTCTCTTAAGCATTTTCGGCTTCTTCCATTTCCCCCCCTATTTTTACAAAATGACTTGACTTCCGCTCTTCTGTCCCACATCTTGAGTCTCCTTACATGAACTAAAGCACCTTCACCTCCCTTGACTCCTCACAGTGTAAACCTTTCCACCTGTCTCACTCTCATTCACATGACTGTTTGATTCCCCCCTCCAGCTTCTCCTCCACCTGCTCCCTACTCTCCCTACAAATTAAAATGTCAATGTCACACTGCGCTGCTCCTTCGGACTTCCTCTGAGCTCCTCTGCCAGAGCTAAAGGTATTTCTGTAGTCATAAAAAACTGCTGCTCACTGATCTAAACTTAGCTCAGCATATTATCCTTGGTCGTAAACAACATTTGCACAGTGTGCTCTCACAGCCAAGGGTTGTTTTAAGCAGCCTGGTCAAATACTGTAGCCCCCCCCCGCCCTCCTCCACCCTCAGTGACTTGTCATTTGGTGAAACTGCCTCTCCAGTCTCCCTCCACTTCATTAAAAAATCCACTTTTTCTCATCTGAGCTTATTCAATATCCTAAAGCTAAAATAACAATGTGCCAATCATGAAAATGTCTTCCTGATACCGGTGATTATTTACAAATACATGTATATATATAGTACAAGTAGAAGATAAAAGGCCGTCATGCCAATGTCCTTTGAAAAAGGATGTAGAACGCAGGAAGAGTTGTTCACCTGGGTTTTGTTTTAACAATGAAGTAAAAAGCTGTGTTTATTAGAGATCCTGTGGCTGCAGCCGAGGCAGGTGAACACTTACGTCACACTGGAATGGTTTCTCTCCTGTGTGTGTCCTCATGTGCTCGTCCAACCCTCGCTTCTGACTGAACGCTTTATTGCACTCGCTGCATTTATACGGCTTCTCCTGCAGAGACGAACAGAAACAAAGAGGTCATTCAAAGAAAAAAAAAACATCCTGCAAACACGCTTTCCATTGGCCTGCTTTAAATAAATAGATAACGTTCAGTGCGTGTCGAATCCTTCTATGTATTTTCATCTGATATCGTCTCGACGTAATGACCATGTATTTAAGTAATTACTTCGGTAGAGAAGTTAACCTTGAGGCCATCAATGTAATACAGCAGTGATCATCAACTGGCGTCCCGCGGGCCAACTGCGGCCCACTGAACCGTTCACCCTGACTAGCATAGCTAAGCTAGCTGCGTGAGCTTTTTATGTTTGTTTTTTTTTTAGCGTTTTACGTGAAGTTAAGTACTTACGACGGCTGTGTGTGTGTGTGTGTGTGTGTGTGTGCCTGCCTGTGTCATCGTGGTATTGGTGGATGGGTGTGTCTATTAGTAATGCCTAAATAACACAGTGTGAGAAGGAAGAAAAGCATGGAGAAGTGATAGCGGAGGGAAACAGTTTCCCTTTGTGTGTCTGTTTTTGACAAATCTGGCCGATATTGAACGCTCTGCTCATTTAAAGCTTAGCTGCCATGGGAACAGGGTGAATGCAGGAAGTGAGGGTCCTGGGAAAGGCACTATCAGGTGGGCAGGGCAAAAACTGCCCGACGACACTGGATACAAAAGGGAGTAAAGATCAGGTTCACTGTGTGTGTGAGTGTGTGAGTGAGTGTGTGTGTGGGGGGGGATGTGTGTGTGCGCTCTATAAAACTCTCAGGGGTCAGAGTTTATATGTCAGAAAACACATGGGCAGACTTATTGTCAATGTGTTGATCCCCAGAATGCATTGCTGCAACTCTGATAACAATGAACATCTGTACCTGGGGAACCTTAGTCCTCTAGCAGCTGTTCTGCTGCTGACCTTTGACCCTAGCATCCCATAGAATGTTGCCACTTTCTCCTCAAAGGGGAATTCCAAGAATATACACACACGTTTGTTTGTTGTTTTACCTGGAGCAGCCAACTTCTCGTATGTCCTGGTAATTGAGTGGGTATTTGTAAAGCATGGTGCTCACGCTGCATCACAGGGCCAGGGACTTAGACTGAGTTGGTTGGTAACTCTCTATGTAAACAGCATGTCGTCATATGAGGATTTTTTTTTTCGAAGGCATGTTGGTGTATGACATGTCGGTTCTGACATCTGTTCTACCACATGATGAGTCATGAAAACATGAATGAATGTTTAGTGAGCAATAATCCCATCTCTCTCAGTATAATATAAAATAAGATTTGAACTGACCAATGGAAGGTTTAAGAACCGAATTCCCACTTAGCAGTGGAACCATGTGACATTCCTATGGGTTACCCATCAACTGGACAGAAACTGTGATTATACGCAAGCAAGCATTTAGCATGTTTGGCTAAAGCTCGAGCTTTAGAATGAAGACCAGCGTGGAGAAGACTTGAGTGTACTCTAAAAAGACATTTATTCACTGTGAGGCAAACCTCACCATGATGTATTAATGTATTGAGCTGAGAAAGTGTGTGTGAGTGTTTCCCACCTATGAGCTGATGTGACGTGATCTGCTGCCCTCAGTGGAGACTTACTTGCGTGTGTGTGCGGATGTGCATCTTCAGTCCATCGTTCTTGCTGAAGGCTTTGTCACAGTAAGGGCACTGGTACGGACGCTCTCCTACAGAACAACCAAAGAGAACGTCAACAAATGTCCAGCACGAGATGACGACCTCACCAATGTAGAATTCAGTTTTACATTTGAAGTGTTGTTGCAGAACGTGAATAAATCAAGGATGAAAATCTGGGTCCGTAGGAGATTACATGTAGATTATCTTTAATCTCAAGTGTTTGCTTAATTCATGCTCCGCACAATTTAGAGGCTACTTGTTTTGTTGGTGTTATATTTATAAAATATTGGTTAATTATATACGCTTTCTCTTGGAAATGTAGTGTTTTCTAAATGGAGGTTTTGGATTAAATTTGTATTCTTCTGTCTGCAGCTTAGTCCAAACAAGTTGAGTTATATAATATTTGTGAATGGACAGTGTAAAACCTAATAAAAAAAAGTATTTCTACCAAAGACACTTCCTAGTTACCGTTCGACCTGGTGACCTTCACCGGGGTCAATAACTGTTGACCCACACTGACTTTTCACTTCAGATGTTGGCTAGACTTCAACATGCCTCTACAAGGTAACAGTGGAGGAACACAGAGCTCGTCCAGCTGGATCAAATGCAGTCTAGCCAGAACTTCTACAGATGCTATCTGAGCATGCCGTACTGATGTCGGAGAAGATGTGACAGAATGTCATCTGACACATGGATCTGTTTACCAAAAGGATGATCCAAAAGCTAGATAGCTGAAGACTTATCTACAGAAACGATAGGAGGTAACCTCTATCTCAGCAACCTAATCACAGGTTTAAACAGAAATCAGACAAGATAAAAGTAATTCATGAAAGAAAAAAAATATTTACAGTCACCATGGTCACGTATTCGGTGAGGGTCAGGGAAGAAATGGGAGAAAATATCTGAATTTTTCCGCAAAATTGAGAAAGGGGAACTTGGCTTTTTTCTTTTCAGACCAGTCTGTTAGCAGCACTTTGGTGTCAAGTCCAGAAAGAGTACTACAGATGGAACCATTAACAGAGCTGGGTGTAAAGTACAGAAGGAGCTACACTGGGTCTGGAAAATCGTCTGGAAAAACATGTGACCTGTGATCCGCTGCACTTTTATTGTTTATTTATCCCATTAGGACCTACAGTTTGAGTAATGTATTTTAATCAATACGCCTTTGAAATATCTGCAGCCTGTCAGAACACCTGAAGCTCCCTTTAAAGTTGAATGATGGTGCTTTTCATGTTACATTAAAAAGCTATCCTAAGTCCAGTGTCAGGGTGGAGAGGGTAACTGATTCAGCATGTGCTGCAACAACATACTATCTCTTTGACCTTGGGGTGTCTCTCTCAACCCGCCCCCCCCAACCCCCCTTTGTGACCCTCACAATTCTTGTCTGCTAATCGATCCATTTGGCACCCCTCCTGTGTTTCGTGTGTCTGGTTAGCAGATGGCTGGCATCGTCGTTTCAGCCTTGTGTTTGTTACAGAGCTTGCTTTGTAGCTCGAGGTTTATGTCTGAAAGGCATTAGTGCGACTCGTCACAAATTAATTCCCGGCTTCCTTCTGTTCAGCTTAACAGTGGTCACTCACTGCCCTCCACCAATGAGGAAAGGTGCCACAGAGACCAAATGATATTGACACACAACATTGGAAATGATGCAACTTTTACAATTAACCTTTCTATGATAATGGTTCACCCAATCAGGTTCCACTATTTTCAGTTACAACTAACGGTTCAGCTTGTTTTAATATCAAGTTGTAAAACAAAAATCAGACCAGACGTTTGCTACATGTTCACAACAAATACAGGAGTTAGACAGGCTCAATAAAAACATGGTCCTTAGTGGTAACGCCAGGAAAACCTAAATTAAATTGACATATATTTATTGTATGTTGTAATCTTTTTTTTTTTCATCTGACTTGGAGGATTAAGCCCAGAGTCATGCTGGGCACTGAGATGGTATTTTAAGCTCCAGGTGCTTTGGTTAAATCAAAACATTTTCTTCCAAATAACGTGTATCAACTGTGTAGTAGAGCTACGATTAGTGAAAGGTTGAAAGGTGGGATTATTGGAAATACAATTCAAATGTTTTTTAGTTTTAATCTGAATGATTACAGAATAAATAGTACATGTTTGACAGACCAACGAGCTAAATGTTAGCTATGTTAGCTTGGATAGAAGGCTGTGAGTTATTGATACAAATGCAAAGAAAGATTTGTGCTCTGTGCAAAAAGTTTGACCTGCTCTAACTGTTGTCTGATTTGCACTTATTGTGTTAAAAGTGCCGCAGACCTACAAAAAAAAACCTTGTTAATTATTTAATGACGAAGCAGAAAACAAAATGTATTACACAGAGAGACAAGGCAGCTGAGTAAATATTTCTTTACTGCTTGTAGAAGATTTTTAACCCTGGGAATCTCACACTCTACACTGACCATACCCCACAGTCTTGGTGTGAGTGAGAGTCTGAATGGTTGTTTGTCTCTATACGTGGTGCACCCCCGACTCGTGGTGCACCCCCGATGCCATAGAAGATAAATAATGAATGGATGAATAAATGAATAGATGGATGAATGGATGGATGGATGGATGGATGGAGGAGCACACCTTATGAATGTCACATAAGCTCATAAGATCATAAAATGTCTTAAGAAACATGTTTTGGTCCCAACATTCAGACCAAGTCATTTGTGACTCTTAATATAATATAAATGTTCTGTATTCTTGTAACATGGACATGGAGCAGTTCAACCAAACAGTAAAAGTTCCTCGCAACTGGTTCACCGTAGTAATATGGACCAGGCGGTAACAGTCTTTAACAGATTGTTAGTAACTGTTTCTTGCGTTAGTAGTGGGACTAGCAGAACTAGTACTAGTACTGGTACTGGAATTTTTCCTTTCTTGTAGGAATACAGGCTATGGAAAGTATAAAATAAACAGGTACATTTTTGAAATAACTTAAAATAAAAAAGTGTGTGTTTGTGTGAGTCTGTGTATTTATGTGTGTGTGTGTCTGCACATGTTGTCAACAGTGTTTTGCACCTTTGTGTGTTCTGTGGACATGAGCTTTGTGTGTATGTGAGAAGGACAAACCAACCAAAAGAGAGGGAGCTGTATAGGACTGAGGGCTGCATCCCAATTCTAACTGTATTCATATAGAAGAAACAAAAGAAAGGAATGCTGGGGGAGGGGTGGGAGCAGAGAGGGACACCACAAAGAAAGAAAGGAGTTGCGGGAAAAAGTGCAGTCCAAGAAGAAACCCAGACCCATGACCCTAAACCCTAAATGGCTGTAAATCTGTCTCCTTACTTTATAAACGGAGGGTCTTTGTGAGGGATAAACACCAGCCAATTTATTATCACATTCCTCAATGATACAAACACATGAAATATAAAAACACACAATAAATAAACACACACAGCCAACTTTACAAAACTTTGACTTTCAATTAGTGGGACTGAGAAAAAGTAACTGCGGACCCTGAGAGAATGTGGGTCTGTGTGTGTGTTTGTCTGTGTGTGTGTGTCTGTTTGTGTCCCGGCCAAACCTCTGCAACAGTCGGTTGGTACGGAAACACACAGGAATGTGTAGCTTTCTAGGTTAAGGCAGTTTAATGAACATCCAGGGCTATATTTTTGTAGACAAGAACAAAGCCAACGTGTAGCCCAACTACAGCCGAAAGCCAAGAATCACAATGTGCAAAACCTCACATGTCTGTGGAAAAGTAGGATTTAAATATATATATATATATATAAATATTGTTTAAATATGCACTTAATAGGAAATAGGAGATATTTTATATATATTTAAAATAATAAAATATTTTGCTAGGATTAAACAAAAAATTGAAAGAAAATATACTTTGCATATATAAATATATCATTAATCATGCTTCATTCACCGTTACCCTGTTAATAATCCTAATATATGTATGTAATAATTGGACAGCTCAAGTGTATTTATATACCTGAGATTAACAATATTACATTATAGACCTTAAAGTCAGACTGCAATATGTATAAGGGGCAGAGGAGTTCAATTCATTTATTTATTTGTTGGGTGATTTACCTCGGTAACTGGAGAACAGGACAAAAGAAAGTCTTTTAGTGTTTCATATAATAATCGTATTTGTGTGTGTGTGTGTGTGTGTTACATAACCCAGGTCAGGAATTTGATACCTGCAACATAGTCAAAAATGTGGAGACTGCGGCAGGTTTACATCACCAATGCCTTCGTGCATTCTTTCTTTTCTTTCGTCTGACCACAGAAAACCTCTCCATTGTCAACAGTTGCACTTGTGCACAGTTGTGCTGCTGTGTTGTGCAACACCAACAAGGTCTTTTCAATTCTATACTGTAGGTGCATCAGTGGAACTAGAACTCAGAGGACACACACACGGTGTTTTTGGGTGCATCAGTGGAACTAGAACTCAGAGAACACACACACGGTGTTTTTGCAAAAAAAAAAAAGTTAAGCAGACGTAACATTTTCAGACAGCGTTTCATGGAGCACTTTTTGATCGAGAGCTGCCGACTGTTGTGGCTATGACTATAATATGAGAACGCCATATCATGAAGTACAGCCAAGGAGCCAGAAGGTCACATGCACAGAGATTTCTCCTGACTACCTGAACTGTTTACAGTGTTACACATGTTGTTGGCTAGATGGTTTTTTTTATTAGTTGCTATCTTGTGCCAAAAACACAGCTTTTATTATTCTTAAAAATGTATAAATACCACTCACCTGTATGGCTACGGATATGAACTCTCAGAGTTCCGTTGCTGGCAAACTTTTGTCCACAGTATGGGCAAATCTTCTCCTTCTCCCCGGTGTGTGTCTGCATCAGAAAAATGACAGAACTGACATGTGGTTGACATTAAAGGAAACATGTGTAACCTTCGTCCCCACATCTGTCCTGAGTTATAAAGTAAAATGTGACCACCTAAAGCTGGACTTTATAGACTTATCTGGACTTTAAAAAAAGAGTTGTACTCACAACCACCCTGAAATAGAGATATATATTTCAATTCACTTTAAAATGATCTTTCTTTTCTGCAGGTTCTACGTTAACCACATCACTTTATCCAAAGCAGTGAAGCCATTGACAGCTGGACTGTCTTCAAATGATTTAAGTTCATCTTTGTGAATGTACCTCCTGCATTCTCTTCAAGCCTGGGTTTTAGGCAGTAATGCACTTTAGTTTTTATCCACTGATTTATTTTTGACCATCTAATCCTTTAATAGGGGCTGCCGGGAAAGCTGTAGTCAATCCCAGCAGTCATTGGACATCCGTGAAAGTTGGCCAGTTCATCACACAGCCACAAATAATCATTTAACTAAAAAAATTAAATTAACCTCCAATCTGCATGTGTTTGGAGTCTGGGAGGAGGAGGAAGTTAGTTAGTTGCTGTTACACTAACCAGTGAACCTATTGCTTAAAAACAGTTGCCCTATAAGCCTAACTATGAACTCAGGCGAAACCTGATTGTATACCACAAAGATGAAGATGAGAACGGTGGTAAGGAAGAATAGAGAAACCCAGTGTGGAAGTATAGAGAAGTTGCAGTTGGTGTGGGATTTATTTTTAGAGACAGCTAGACAGATATGATGATATGGGCTGTCAGTGGTAACTGTTGGAGGTGGGTTACATTAAGTTACATCAGGTCTGAGCCACTTCCTGTTCCCAGCAGTGACTGACAACAGGTCAGCAGAGAGGGTCAGACTCTGGAAACATGGCTGAAACGTCGTGCACTGCACAAGTGTAATCCTATGAAGGGACCACCTTAAACCAAACTCGCTGTCCTTTATGACCACACTTCACAAAAATGACATTTTAAAATAGCGCGGAGCGTCACATGGAAAGCTGTAGAAACAATGCAATCACTGACCTCATATATGGAGTACAAAGCACCTGGCATCACATTTAGTAAAAACTGAGAGAATATTATTAAAGGCTACAGCCGTATACAGTACACCTTCTACTCACTCCCATCAGCCATGATCATGTGCCTTAAAGCATCACCTTTGTCACTCCACGCTGCTGACGTGGCCTTTCTGACCTCTGTCTGCTCAGTGATCTGCTCTGTTCCTCTCATCCCAGCCTGTTCTCACTCCATCTGAACTCTGTCTCCTCTCCTGCCATCTTTACCACCGCATGATGTGTGTGTGGCATTTAACCAATTCATCACTGACTCATTAATCATCATTAGTCAGCTGTCACATGTCAGTTAGGGAGTGTGAGACATGCTGTTTGCTGTTGGCACTGCCAATGTCAACCTCCTCGTGTGAATCCAAGACGGACGCTTCTTTACTTTATTGGGGACTTTGACTTTACTCCGTGTCTATCATTCAGTCTCCTCGTCTCCTCCTGAATCACCTCCGTGTCTGAGACAATCATTTTAACCTGTTGTATAAAATACACGAGTACTCCTCTAACATGACTAGCAGGTACTGCAATATTTACTCATGATGATTTAGGAGGGACAATGTTTGTCCAGGGCATTACCGTGTACATGAAATAAAACTTCAACAACAGTACGCAAGTGGTTCTTGTGAACATAAAAAAGACTCAGGGAGCAAGTTGTCATTTCCTCTGTGACCTGACTTTGATCAGGGCCAGATCTCTCAGCAGCTTCCAGACCCCATCAGCAGCGGGAGGGACAGTTCCTCAACTGTACTGATCCTTAGACATTTTCTTTTTGCTCCGTGCCAAGATGCTGTTTGGTTTCAATCTTGGACCATAACCATACCGGACGTTGTCAGTTTTGGGACTCATAATCTGCTGCGAGATCTGTTTTGAGCTTTGAAATCCCCACAGAGCTAATGGACTAACTGCCATTTCTAATCAACACAGGAATTGATTTGCAAACCTCAAGTGCAGAAACAGTCAGAATGCATCGCTCCACCAGGTTAGACACTGGGAGATCAGCTGCATCACTCTGACCAGACACAGAATGAGACCGGACTTAAAAGAGAAAAGTATTTTCAAACACACTGGACTGTTATTTCACCTTTATTAAAATTCCAGTTTGATTGATGATAATAAAAATACCCTACGGCAGTCATTTAGAAGTTTGACTTTTTGTCTATTAAGCACATGTCGCTCCACAACTGGGTCTGTGTCCTGTCTCTCTACAAAGTTCTCATCAAAGTAAATGAAAACCAAAAACCTCCATAGGTGAAAGAGATTAAACCTCTTCAAAAACCTATGCCATCCCAGATGGCCCTTTGACAACTTCTCATGGTCCCACTGAAAAAAGAATTTCAATGAGGTCGTTTTTTTTTTTTTAGAAATCACAGAGACTGAATGGGTTCGGACGACATGAGAACATTGCAAAATAAAGATACCGTAGTTCAAGAAAGTTTACAGTTGTGTACAAACCACATCCTCAGTCACAGGCATTCAGTTCAAACTTGCCACCAGAACTGTGCTTAATTGCTTATGTAATTAACTTTCACTGATTGTGCTGCCTTTTAATCATACCCACATGCACATGTCCAGCCAACCTGCTAGGCCCTGTTCTGATTTGTATCATTCATCCAGTCATTTATTTTGGACCTGGAGACAATTTTAACAGTCACTGGGCGAAGCCAGGTCAACCCCCCTAACCCCCCCCCCCCCAGCACACCAGTCCATTACAGTGCCACATATAGAGACAAACGACCATTCATGCTCATACTTATAACGATGGTCAATTCAAGTGACTAATGGACCTCATCCTGTATGTTTTTGTGGTAGGAAACTCATGGCCTTAGGGAGAACCCCACAGGGGAGAGATCATTCAAACTCCATGCAGAGAGACCAGGGATCAAAGCAGCGACCTTCTTGCTGTAAGGCAGGTCTGTTTCACCAAAACTATTTTTCCGCAACACATCTTATGACATGGGTGTCAAATACCCCTGTAACATACAGTTTGACTGTTGTCCTAATACACCTCTACAACAGTCAAAAACAAACAGATATTCTTTGAAAAGAGATGACGAGTGTCAACTTCCACATCTCCGAAAAAGGAAAAACCCTATTAGTCCAAAATTAGCTCAAAGTTGCTCACAGGTAGATAGCACAAACCAGCATGAAATTGCAATGAAAATGATTTCAATTATAGCCACGGCTAAACACTGCCATTACTGTAATCAAACTGAGTCCATTTTCAGTAATTGCATTGGAACAGTCAAGCAGAGAGGTCATTTGCTTTTATGTTGCACCTGCCTTTCAAATAAATAAAGTTTTCCCTGAAGTCATTTTCAGGACATAATGACGGGGCGAGCGGACATTCAATCTCAGTTTGAGATTAGGGTTATCTTCTTCATCTTTTTTTTCTATTTACCTTTTTGTGGCTCTTGAGGACAGACGGCGTCACAAAGGCTTTCTCGCACAGGTCGCACTTGTACTTTTTGTGGCCATCATGCACCACCTGGATGTGGACATTTAGCGTGTCCTTCCTCTTGAAAGTGGCGTCACATTGGTCACACTTGAAAGTCCTCTCGTCTGTTGAAAGGACAGAGGTACTGTCTGTAGAAAGCCAATTATCCATTTATACATTGTTATTCCACTAAAATAGTCGTCACACAAACAGTCAGAGAAGAGCCCGTTTTTGGACACTTTGAGGACAGAAAAGGTTTAAATGATCGACGTTTCATTGCTCTGAGAAACAATTCTGTGAGAGAAAGGTTCTAGAAACACTTTTGTCCTGCATGTGCAGCTGAGGACATCGCTGAGGAAACAGTAACAAAATGAATTCTTTGGCCATGTGTTCCTCCTTAACAGTAAACTGTTTAGTTGGTTTAATACACAAAAAACAAGATGTGCCCTATTTAATTTATCAAAAGAAGTGAAACATAAGACGGTTGGGAGTGACGCCTCTGTGTACTTTTACAGCTCCACACAACAGCCACTATTGTTGCCAAAGTGGTTGCTCCCATTATATTGTCATCATGACATTTCTAGGCAGTTGTTTGGGACGGTTGTTTGTACAAATGTGTTTGTTGAGGCTTGGAGTTGTTGTGAGTGTGTATTTACACTGTTGTCAAGTTCAATGAGGTTCAGGTCAATAAGAACAGACACCAAACAAGCAACTGTTTATAATGAAAATTACATTTCCACATAATAATTCATCATCACCCTGATACTAATTGACACGTCACATTAACTTGAGGGTCAGGATTAAATACCTTTGAAATCATCCTTTAAATTCTCAAAAACAGGGAGTAAGTAGTTGTTGTACTGCTAACAGTACAACAGTGCAGTGTACCGTGTATCATTTCATTAGTTACATGCTAATTACATGCACAATATTTGAAATGATCTCTGGTCAAATTAGCAATTTTTAGTACGGATGTACATAAAACAATTTAAAAATAACTACATATCTGCAAAAACCAAATGTTTCAAAAATGTCCCCAAAAACCTTTTCACTGCAGACTGAGCTCCTCAACACGGGCAATTTACAATGACAGACACAGGGACTTATACAATACTAAGACTATTTTCTCACCTGTAGGTAAAGTAGAGAAACACACTCTACTCACTGGCCCTACATGGACCTGCCTTAGTACATAATACATATGGGTGGTGCAATATAGCGAGTCTCCTGAGACGGCAGCCTTGAGCTGACTACGGTCTCTTTATTATCAGGCTGTAAGTTTTAACAGCAGCACTGCTCAGCTGTGCAGAGAGAAACTTTGGATCAGAATGTGACACCGTGAACACATTCCAATGATGAATTGAGGACAATGTCATGCTGTTCCTAGAGTCATTTAACCCTTTCATTTTAATTAAAATTACTTATTACAAAAGTATAATAATAATAATTACAAAAATCCATCCATCCTAGTTTCCAAAAGCACAGTATGAAGTGCCAGGAATCCTTATCAAGGAGCTAAATGGGTCTCGCTCACATTGGGTCTTTGCTGTCTGCATTTTCATTATGGTGTAGCCTTT